TTCAAAAGGCGCTTCATCGCTCATCAGGAGATGGCGAACTGGACGGACGCCGAAGCACTACGCGCGCTGCCGGCGATGCTGGACAACGACGCCCTGGCTACTCTCACCTCGGCGCCTAAGGAAAAGCGCGCCACGCTGCACTTGGCGCTGCAGCTGCTGTCAGCTGTCTATGGCCCGCCTTCGGACTGCAGGCAGCTATTCCACGATCGTCATCGGGGCGCCAACGAAGCGCCCCTGGCCTTCCGGACTGCTCTCCTGGCCCTGGCGAAGGCTGCTTTCCCGCGGATGGACGAAGAGGGAGTGGACGCTATGGTGGCTGAAAAGCTGCTGCTACTCGCTGATGAGCTGGACGTCAACGTCCTGGCTCAAGACGACGCAGAGATGTCGTCCTTGCTGGTCGCGCGCCACATCCACGGGGGCTTGCGGTCCCTGCGTCGCAAGGCCGCCAAGGGGGTGGCCGGCCATGCCATGGCGGCCACCACCCTCCCATCAGAGGAGGTCTGCGGGGTGGAGCGGCGGGGGGAATGGAGATCGGCGGCACCACAGGCTCGGAACGGACCGAGCCGCCAGGAGCAGCCCAGGCCATCTGGGGCGCTCACACGGTGCTACAACTGTGGCCTTCAAGGCCACGTTGCTTCAGGATGTCGGGCTCCCCGTCAGCGCGGGGCGACACCTCGTCAGGACGCCGCGCCGTCTCCACCCAAGCTCCAGCAGAGAAATACGGCGAGTCGTGGCACCTCACACGTTTGGCCCATGCACACATCCGATACACACTCACGCGCTGAAACGAACAGGGTTCGAAAATCGACGGCCGTTGCGTCGGATTGTTCTGAAATGCGGCAAGCGCTCCAACCGGGTCAGTGGTCGGAGCTCGCCCATCGTGTCGTTGCAGCGTCGGCGGGATCGTCGGTCGTGGTCGGTCATATTGATGGGGTAGAGGTGCGGATTTTAATTGACACAGGGGCATCGGCGACCATTATATCTGATTTGATTTATAACATCCTTCCCGTTCAAAGTCGTCCCTTGCTCCCCGTTGACGTGCCATGCTATGCTGCTAACGGGGGCTCGCTGGGCATCATTGGGCAAATCCGCGCCAAAATTTGCATTGGAGACATTCAATTATCCGGGCCTGTTTTGGTTTCCTCCTCACTCGCGGTTCCGTGCCTGTTGGGGACTGGATTTCTTGGCCAAAATGCCCATTCGTATCTTGATTGACCAAGGGTGCATCGAGCTCCCGTCGGGCCGACGTGTTACATTTTTGTCTTCCCCCGCCACGGAGCGTCGGGCGTTTGCCACCGTGCAGGCGCTCGTGACAAAAACTGTGCGCATACCCCCGGGGGCTCAGATGCTCGTCCCTCTTAGGTTGCGTCGGCCGTTTGCTGAAGGGGTTGCGGATCGGGGGGTCTTGTTGGGACCATCTCGGGCCGGGGTCAATGGACCCGATTTGCTAGCGGCTCAGACCATGGTGAAAGGGGATGGGGACCCCTTCATTGCAGTCCTTAATGTAGGATCGCGAACGGCCGTGGTTCCTCAAGGGACCGTGCTTGCACACGCAACGCCGGTACCCTATGAGGAACCACTCGTGGGTCAGGTAAGCACCGATCCTCCGTCGCGACCGCATTCGGACTGTGATGACGGATGGCTGGATGCGCTTTGCGCGGGATCAGTGGACCTGTCCGACTCGCAGCGTGCGCAGCTGCGAGTTCTCCTGAACGAATTTGCCGACGTTTTTAGTCGACACAAATTTGATATTGGTTGTACTAAATTGCTGCGACACCATATTGACACGGGTGACAGCGCGCCAATCCGCCAAAATCCCTTTCGGTTGAGTCCCGCCGAAAAGGATCATGTCAAATCGGCCGTTGATAACATGCTAGCCGCCGATATCATTTCCCCTTCCAACAGCCCGTGGGGCGCGCCGATCGTTTTGTTGAAAAAACACGACGGCTCACTGCAGTTTTGTGTCGACTTTCGGCGATTGAACAAAATTTCTGTGGCAGATGCGTACCCGCTTCCTCGAATGGATGAGTCGCTCGATGCCTTGGCGGGGGCGCGATTCTTTTCCACCCTGGATTTACTTTCTGGATTCTGGCAGCTGCCTCTGGATGACGAATCCAAACCTAAGACTGCTTTCCGTACACCGCAATGCCTCTTCCAAATTAACCGCTTGCCGATGGGCTTACATTATGCGCCAGCAACTTTTCAGCGGTTAATGGAACTGGTCTTGGCAGGCTTGCAATGGGATTCGTGTTTAATTTACTTGGACGATGTCATCGTCTTTAGCAAATCATTCAACGAACACCTCCAGAGGTTGCGTGCTGTTTTTCTCAAAATGCGGGCTGCTAATTTGAAATTTAAACCGCAGAAGTGCCATTTGCTCCGCGAATCAGTGCGGTATTTGGGTCACATTGTTGGGCGCTCGGGGATATCCACTGATCCCGCCAAAACGGAATGCGTCAGCTCCTGGCCAACTCCCACCTCGGTGGGAGAGGTCAGGAGTTTCATTGGGTTCGCGTCGTACTACCGACGGTTTGTGGCTGACTTCGCTACGATCGCGAAACCATTGCATGCCTTGACGTCCAAGGGAGTCAGGTTTCATTGGGGGCCGGAGGAGGAGGCTGCTTTTTGCGCCCTCCGAAATGCCCTGGTGGGGGCTCGGCCGTTGAATTACCCCGATTTCTCACAACCCTTCTTGCTCAATACAGACGCAAGTAACACGGGCATTGGGGGCGTGCTGTCCCAGCTCATTGGGGGCGTAGAGCATGTGGTGGCTTACGGTAGTCGAGTACTGTCTCCGGCGGAACAACGGTACTGCGTTACCCGTCGGGAATTATTGGCAATTGTTTATTTCATTCAGCAGTACCGCCCGTATCTGTACGGTCGGCGTTTCACCGTCCGTACAGATCATGCCGCTCTACAGTACGCCCTGCGGGTTCAACAACCATCGGGCCAGTTGTCTCGATGGTTGGAGATTCTCCAAGACTACGACTTTGTCACCACATATCGTAAGGGCGTCCGCCACACGAACGCTGACGCCCTGTCGCGGTTGCCACCCACTTCGGAGTGCGCCTGCCTCTTGGGTTCGGGGCGTTGTAGGCCCCCGAACGTGACCACCGATTCGGTCTTCGTGGCCGCCACCGATGCGCCTTCGGCTTCGGGTCCTATCGAGCAAGAAGGGAGGGATTCGTTGCTGGGGTTGTCGGTTGCGGAGTGGGGACGCCTCCAAATGGAGGACACCTCCCTCCTCGCTCTGCGCCGTCGCACCGGGGGGGTTGGTCAGGGGGTGGCGAACGTTGACTCGTGGGGGTTGTTCCAGGGGATTTTAATGCACTGGGACGGAAAATCCCACCGCCAACGGCTCGTGGTGCCTGCAGCATTGAGGGGTAAGGTGGTATGGGCTGTGCATGAGCGGCTCCTGCACTTGGGGGTTCACAAGACCTTTGCCATGCTCCAGCTCGATTTCTTCTGGCCGGGCATGGCGAAGGACGTGGGGGATCTCCTGGGGTCGTGCACAAAATGCGCGCAGAGGAAGCCACCAGCGAGGGGGTCCAACCCTCCGCTGCAGTCCATAAAGGTTTCCCGGGTTAACGAGCTCGTTGCTCTGGATATTCTCGGCCCATTACCCGCTACACCCAGGGGAAATAGGTACTTGTTGACAGGGGTCGAATACTTCACGAGATGGCCTATGGCCTGGCCCCTGGCCAACCAGTCGGCAGCAGCCATTGCGGAGGCCTTTGTCCAGGGCTATGTCCTCGACAAGGGTGCTCCGGAACGGCTGCTGACTGACCAGGGTAAGAATTTTTCGGGGAAACTCCTCCGCGAGGTGTGCGACCTCTTGGGTACGGAGAAAATTCGGACCTCCCCCTATCACCCACAAACTGACGGGATGGTGGAACGGCTGCATCGGACTATCACGTCCATGCTGTCCCAGCAGGTATCGGAATCCCAGACAGATTGGGACCTTCGCATTGCCGGTGTGTTACAAGCCTACAGGATGGCTCCCCACGCGGCCACCGGATTTTCCCCTTTCTTTTTAATGTATGGCCGCGAGGCTAACCCCCCTGTGACGACCCAGCTCTCGGTGCCTCAGGCGAAGTCTGCCTTGTCCGAACACGTTAAATTTAACATCGCCAAATTATCTGAGGCGCGGGAAGCGGCCGTGCAAAATTCTGAACTCCGCCAGAAGGCGAACGAGAGGCTTCGGCTGGAGCGGGTACATGTGTTCAAATGGAAACCAGGGGACAGGGCATGGTTGCACTGTCCCCAGGTGCCGCTGGCGACCTCGTCAAAGTTGGTACGGCCGTGGCGGGGGCCCGTGGAGGTCGTACAGGTCTTGCGGCCGCAATGTGTTCGCGTCAAATGGGGGAGGCGTCGGTGGTACGTGCACCCCTCAAGGTTGAAACCGTTCATTGCGCCGCCCCGTGATTCGCACACACACACGCATGGCCAAACGTGTGAGGGGTCCGCCGACTCCCCGACGTCGCTGCTCTCGCCTAACCTGACATCAACTGTTCCATCTCCAGGTGCAACAGGAGTGACGGGTCCACGCCCGCCAACCCCTCCCGGAGGGGTCGGGGGTCACTCGGCAGCGAAGCCAGACTCTCTCGCACCCGGACCGTCAACGACCGCCACTGAGCATGCCGGGATGGGCCCTTGTGACGGGCCCGCCGCGAGAATGCGCGCCAAAACGCGCAGACTATTGTGAGGTCGGCCGTTGAGGGGCCCTTGCGGACAGGGGGGGGTGGCGTCCGGAGTTCGTGTATATATGTTGGTTTAGGGGAATGGGGTATTTATTCGGGGGGGTGCGTCGGGTTATTTTTTTTCTTCCTGTTGTTGTTGTTGTTATAGTTGTCATTGTTCTTGTTAAAATTACGCGAGGCACACACACGGTTTTGGGGAGGGATGCACCTTTGTTCTGATTATTATTTTTTTTGCAGCCGGGGACGGCTGCGAGCTGTACAGGGGGGGGGGGGGTGATGTAGAGGTGTATTTATGCATGGGCACGGATGGCTAACAAACACAAGGGGCGTGGTTAGAGCCGTACACAGAGGAGGTGCTCACACCGATGTCCGCACCTGCATCCCCCACGGGCCCCTCCCGGGGGGCCAAGTACTATAAAAGATGGTGAGCCGGAGGGCTCGAGGTCGAGTATTAGCTTAAACCAGCGAAGACTGAAGACCAGCTAGAATAGGCCCCGGAGCTCCCCTGGCTGGCTGTCCGTGTCAGGGCCGACCAGGGCAAGCCGGTGGCGTGGCCCCGAGAGCCCAGACTGACGTTCTTATAAGAGCCGGTCTGGAGACTCAGGGTGCCGGGATCCCAGCTTGACCAGGGCTGGGATAGGTAGCCTCCCCTAGCTCCGTAGTGGAGGACTTGGGCGTAGGTTAGCGGGGTTAGATGTTGTGTCTCCCTGTAGCCGAGTAAAGGGGACGATATCCCCTTTAGTACTGTGTGTACCCGTTACTGTACACAAGTTGGTGTTAATAAATAAGTGTGCCTCCGACCCCGTCGTCAAGCCTCCTGAATACTTACTACACATGGCTAGTGTTGTGTACAGGCTAGGTTAAGCGACTGTGGAGAGTGTGTGGACGAGACTGTGAATGTTGATAATAAAGGTGCCTCCTACAAACCTTGTCTCCGAATCACTGACACTACACACGCACGATGCGAAGCGTGTTTGTCAGTCCTACGAATCGATACCAATCGCCGAGATGAGGCGTCGCTCCACCCCTAATTCACATGCACACAAGGACACAAGGGAGCACAGGTGCATGCACACAGCGAGCCCGCCCATTGGCACTCGGCACTGCACCTCTGCACAGGGCTGAAGAGGCACATGGCTCGCGCCTTGTCTGCCTGGATGAAGCCCATGATGGCCGCGTGTTTCCCGTCCGGTTTCGTGTCGTCGATGCAGTACGATATTGGGCCCGAGTCGGACATGCATGATCCATTGAAGCCTTAAACAAATCACATTCACACAAGTCAGCATCACTTACTGAGCAGCATTCACTCCATCAACACCATCTTGGGGAAAATGACCTACACAATATAATAAGGTCGTCTGTTTTACTGTAGACGTGAAAACATTGTGACATGCTTTGAATAAGCTTAGGCCATTGTGTCTTGGCATCACAGTCAAAATTTGCCGATTTTTTTCATTACTGGAAAACTACTTAGGTGGAAAACTCATAGCAATCATTGCTCCCAACTGCAAAAACTTAAACTTAGTAAGACCCTTCTTGTTTACCTTTTCTCTACTTTGCACTCCTATTGTTGGTTGTATTGTTTGTTGTTGTAACTTGCTGACCCGCCCATACTGGACATAAGTGAAAATGAGCTTCATAACTCATCGGATTTCTCCATGATAAAGATTATAATTCTGAAAAGGTCTTAAGACTTTCCTAGGTAACACAACTATAATAAAAATAAATAATGGTCATAACCCCTTGATTTTAACTTGAACTTGAGGCTGCGTTAATGACAATTGCGGTAACATGGTGTCAGCCCAAACCGAAATACACGGCAAAAACACAATAAACAGTGTCTACTGATGTGGCCTCACCACGCTGCTTCCAGAAGCTTGTGCTGTAGAAGGTGATGGTCTTAATGATGGATCCCATCGGCATGCGCTGCACCAGCTGGCTCCTCAGGGGCGGCAGGGCCGGCTCAAAGTGCACCTTGTTTATGAGGGCGGTGGGGATTGCGCTGATTGCAAAACGTGCCTGCGTGACATGGTCAAACAAATTGAATTGTGTTTTCAAGGCCAGCACAACAATAATATTATTGTAACACTTGTTTAGCCATAAAAGCCCCACTAAGTGCCTAGACTTTTTTTCCTAGGATGCTCCTGCAAAGCATTTTGTTTCGCAGAAGGGGGCAATGATTTTGCTGTGTGAAATCTTAATTGCGAAATTTGCAGGGAATCTTTCAGCATTGGGATGCTGAGTAAAATGATTTACAAGATTTGAGGATACAACAATGACAACAACGACGACGAGAACAACAACAACAGACAAAGTGAGTTAATAAAAGCGTGTAAAAATGGCAGGGTCTTGATGGGGGTGAGGTAGCTCAGCACTGATAAATGTGTCAATGTGACTTGCATGAATTGTTTCCCTCATCCATAGAGAAATGTGAGCATGAGGAAGATGACGTTTTTGCCACCCAATAGTGGGCAAGTTACTGCTTGTCTATCCAAAGACGCCGCCTACGTTGGTCGTAATAAGCATCATGAGGTCATAAACTTTGAGTTTTAAGACCCTCACTAAGATGTCATGTCTGTCTGGTGGCTTTTGGTTTGGATAAAGGTAAACCTGGATCTCCTTTCATTTGGGATTGCAAGTGAAGGTGATGAACAGATGGGGCGTGGCATATTGGCTGATGTATGTCATGGCATCCCGAGTCTTCTCATGCATGTATCTTGGTGGAGCTGTGTAATATTTGACAACTTATTAGTTTCATAATAGTAAACAATGAACCTGAGTTCTTAGCGAAAGATTCAATAAAATTGTACTTTGCCCGCGGCCTCGCCTAGATTGCTCAGCCAGAGGAGGTGACACATTGCCAGGCCGGGGGCTGGGCCGCTACCCCCCCACCATCCCCCCGCCCGTGCTACAATAATACTATCTAAGCGCTATAATATTAGTATTTACCGAGCCTATAGTAGTAAGTGCACACATTGGGGTGGGGGGTAGAGAAGAAGACATGACACTTTGATGAATTTACCTCAGCGTTGCGTGTATTTTTTTTGCATTTGGAACGCGAATGAGAAATCCCCCCCACCCTCCACCGATGACGCGTGTGCGTTGCCTGGGGCAACCCCGAGCAGCTTGAGCGGGGCAGGGAAATAATTAAATAAAAACTCACTCAATTGTTAATTTCACTACTTTAAAGTTGACGGATGGGAAAACGAAATAGCCTATGCCCACCACGGGGCTTAGGGTGTGCTGCCTGGCAAAAATGTTTCGACTTAAACCACCCTGTTTGAGAGCCAAATCCCTCGCAAGCGCGCATACGCAGATGGACAGACAGACGGACAGACAGACGGACAGACAAAAATGTACTTTTATTTTTAAAATAGTTTAGTGGTATTCTTAGGTTTTTTCGGTAAAGTCACGTAGGTAAAACATCAAAATTAATAAAAATAAAATAAAATAAAGATCACGACGTTTCGGAGGCAACACAAGTCTCCGTCATCAGGTGGGACCGTCACAGCCAGATTAGCTGCATCAAGTGAGGCAATGATTCAAGATGTAATCCCTTAAAAGCGAGTTGAGGGGGGAGGAGAGGGGGGGGTAGCTCATCAGAATGTGGTAGCCAATGAATGGAACGTATCGGGAGGGAGGGGGGCGGGGCCAAAAGGGTGGGCGACGGCGTGTAAGCGATTGTGCGCAAACGACAAACTGCTGCACACGCCAACGCATTGGACAGAGAGGGGGGAGGGGGAGGCCTGATACACATGATAGAAAAGAAAAGAAAATGCGCATGTTTATACCAATGCTGGCTGAACAATGAAGGGATTACTGTTAAACACTGGGGATGTTAACACTCGGTAAAGTAAAGTAAAATAGTGCCTGTCAGATAAGATGGTCCAAAAAAGTGTAATTAAGTCTTTTTTGCATGGTTAATAACATCTTTCCAATGATTACTAAGTTTGTACCCATCATCACGGTTGAAATTATGTCTGTGTTTGTATATTTGTATGGCTTCGTGTACAAACCTTTGATGGTAGCCAGGAGGTTTGCAGAGAACCTTGGTCTCGGAAAAGACAATTTCATGAGAGCCCACCGAGTTGTAGCAATGATCGGCAACGGCCGAATAATCAGTTCTGCCGTGTTTCAGATCTGACTTGTGCTCGCGGACACGATCAGCAACATGACGTTTCGTTTCTCCAATGTAGCAATCACCACAAATGCAACTCAATTTGTAGACTCCAGGATACTGTAAGTCAGGAACGACATCCTTCACAGATGGAATCAGATCACGGATTTTATGCACTGTACTGAATCGGACTTGGATCTTATGTTTGTTTAGAATTTTGTGTCGACGATAACCTCTCCTACATACAAACTAGCCCGTTTTCTATCAGATACTCTGCTCCCCTTCACAGGCAAGACCTCTTCGGCAGTACTCAACTCAACCCAATTAGTCTCTATGGTTAAGGACATGGTACTATCTCCTGATGACATCCTCGTCAGCTTTGATGTAGTATCTTTGTTTACCAAAGTCCCAGTACCGGACACCCTAACAATAATTTAGGACTTAGTCCAACATGGATTGAATTCTGATGTACCTGCGCTGGGTAGGCATTGCCTCACCAACACCTATTTTACCTGGAATGGCACCTTCTACAAACAGAATGAGGGTACCCCTATGGGCTCCCCCTTGTCACCAGTTATAGCCTACATGTTCATGGAAAAGTTTGAATCAGACGCCATCCAGACATCCACCCTGCGTCCTTCCTTGTGGAAGAGGTATGTGGACGACACATTCGTCATCTGGCCACATGGCCTCCCAGCACTGAACCACTTCTTGGACCACATCAATTCTAGACACCCATCCATCAGATTCACCATTGAAGTGGAGAAAGACGGTAAACTACCATTCTTGGATATTCTGTTTGAGAGGAGGCCTGACGGATCCTTGGGACATTCTGTCTACAGGAAAGCCACCCACACAGATTCCTACTTGAAACCGGATTCCCACCACCACCCATCTCAAAAGAATTCTCTCATCAAAACGCTATACCACAGAGCCCATGGCATTTCTGACCAACACCACCTGACCGGTGAATTAAGACATGTACATCGGGCCCTCAGGATGAACGGATACTCTGACCGTACTATCCGCCAAGCTGTCTCTCCCACCACACAGAAACAGCCACATAAAACTCCGACCAAAACTATCACGTTACCATACATAGCAGGCGTGACCAAAAAGATATCCAAAATTCTAAACAAACATAAGATCCAAGTCCGATTCAGTACAGTGCATAAAATCCGTGATCTGATTCCATCTGTGAAGGATGTCGTTCCTGACTTACAGTATCCTGGAGTCTACAAATTGAGTTGCATTTGTGTTGATTGCTACATTGGAGAAACGAAACGTCATGTTGCTGATCGTGTCCGCGAGCACAAGTCAGATCTGAAACACGGCAGAACTGATTCTTCGGCCGTTGCCGATCATTGCTACAACTCGGTGGGCTCTCATGAAATTGTCTTTTCCGAGACCAAGGTTCTCTGCAAACCTCCTGGCTACCATCAAAGGTTTGTACACGAAGCCATACAAATATACAAACACAGACATAATTTCAACCGTGATGATGGGTACAAACTTAGTAATCATTGGAAAGATGTTATTAACCACGCAAAAAAGACTTAATTACACTTTTTTGGACCATCTTATCTGACAGGCACTATTTTACTTTACTTTACCGAGTGTTAACATCCCCAGTGTTTAACAGTAATCCCTTCATTGTTCAGCCAGCATTGGTATAAACATGCGCATTTTCTTTTCTTTTCTATCATGTGTATCAGGCCTCCCCCTCCCCCCTCTCTGTCCAATGCGTTGGCGTGTGCAGCAGTTTGTCGCTTGCGCACAATCGCTTCCACGCCGTCGCCCACCCTTTTGGCCCCGCCCCCCTCCCCCCGATACGTTCCATTCATTGGCTACCACATTCTGATGAGCTCCCCCCCTCTCCTCCCCCCTCAACTCGCTTTTAAGGGATTACATCTTGAATCATTGCCTCACTTGATGCAGCTAATCTGGCTATGACGGTCCCACCTGATGACGGAGACTTGTGTTGCCTCCGAAACGTCGTGATCTTTATTTTATTTTATTTTTTATTAATTTTGATGTTTTACCCACGTGACTTTACCGAAAAAACCTAAGAATATGAATCCTTGCAGTCACGAAAGCTTCAAATCTAGAATTAATTTAGTGGTGCGCACTGATGATATAATGTACCTGAGCTAAAATGGCAGTGTGCACCCTATTGTATGATAACAATTTTTAACACGTGGATATTTCACGAATCAGACGCATTGTTTCATTCAGAACTTGGAGTTGCAGAGTCACCGCTCCCAAATCCCTTGTATAATAGCCTGAACAGGAGAGCCTTGAGCTTCTGCTTAAAGGTGGACGGTGCTCGGATGCTGGATCTGTGCAGTGGGGGAGAGTTCCAAATGGCTGGTACAGCTACGGAGAAATGCTATTCGATCAAGACAATGTGCGCTCTGGGCACGATGAGCAGGTTATTAGATGTACCCCATAGGATGCAGCGGTGAACTCTAGTCAGTCGTGTAAGAAGCGTGGAGAAATATGGCAGGAGACCTTAAAAAAAATCTTGATTACACAGGATAGCAATTTTGTGATGTAGCCTTGATTTTATGGGGATCCAGTGCAAGGTTTTTAGTGAAGCCATGGAAAATGTATGGCTGCACCTTATGCCAAGGACGGCACCTGACAGGTTGTTTTGAAACCGCTGTAGTTTGTCGAGGTATTTTTCAGAAGTACGAGCAAGGATAACGTTGCAATAATCAATGTGAGTACCGATAAGTGCTACACGCTGGTATTTGCAGTGGGCAGATTTGTCACAAGGCCCTGCGATGGTGGTTATACCCCTTTATTATGTTGAACGCTTGGTTGTGGAGTCGGAATGTGGAGTTCAAGGTGATTGCGAGGATTTTCAGATGATTTGAAAGACCGATGGTGGAGCTAATGC